CTTGACTTTAATGGCATGACTGTTCAAACCCAGGTGTTAAAGGATAGAGGGATTTCTGAGTCTGATCTGTACCTTGCTGAAAGCAAGAAAAGCCAATTTTCAGAAAGATCTGTTATTGTACCTGGAAATATTATTTTGCTTGGTATGAATGCACTCAATTCGAGAGTCCCCTGTGCCTCAGATTCGATCCTGTAAACAGGTCTTTCTCAGAACTTGGCTCTAAGCACCCTTAAAAGGACAGGTATTGGCCTTGTTCATCTGTTTTCAAAGGCCTCTGGCTTCACATTCCAATGTTTAAAAATAGAAGGAGACTAATCTGGTTCCCTCTGCCTTGCAGAAACCGCCCTTTGTACCCATTAGGGTTATTCCCCTGGAGGTTCTTGCTGGCAGTGCCTTTTTGGTAGCTATCTCATGTCGGATGTGTTTCTGAATTGGTGGCTCTTTCCTGTAACGAACCTTTCCTCATACTTCACAACGACAAGGTTGTCTTACGCCCTAGACCATCCTTTTTTCCTAAAGGCAGTTTCAGTAGTGTACCTCAATGAGGACATTATACTACAATTCTTGTGCTCCTAAGCATCCAAAGAACTTGTCTGTACTTTCCAAAGTGGGTGTGGTGTCTTTTAGCCTTGCATACATTTGGACTCTCAGTCGTCAGTTTCTGGATTTGGGAAATAGGCTTGAGAAGTGTTTCAAACACTTTGGGGAGGACCAGACATAAATCTTCTGGTGTCTGCTTTCAAATATGAACTGGACAATTTTCTCTTTAGAGACCAGAGACTCTCAGGCCTTCATAGTGGATGCTCTATTGACTCAATGGGATAAGTTTAACTTGATCCACACTTTTGCACCCCTCCAGCTTCTCCTTTGTCTGCTCCTCAGGATCCAGATGGAAGGAATTCTTCTGATTCTCATGGCACTTAACCAGCCCAGGGAGATGTGGTATTTGGATATAAACAGACTCCTGGCAGACTCTCTGGGCCCTTCCTGATTGTCTACACTTTCTGTCAAAAGGACTGGCTCACCATCCTGCTCCTCAGTCTTTGGCTTTAACGGCTTGGCTGTTGAAGCCAAGATCCTGAGTGACAAGGAGCTTATCGTATTCAGTCATCCTTATCCTATTGAAGGCTAGGAAGTTCCCTACTCTGAAAGATTATTATCACACCTAGAATATCTATTTTGTGTGGTGTGAGGCAAGAAAGTTTAATCCTAGGTAGTACTCCCAGGGACTTATCTTCTCATTTCTGTAGTTTGGTCTAGACCAGCGTCTGGCGTTAGCTATTCAGTTTCAGAGGCCTTGGCTTTTCATTCCTTAGTTTATGTTTTTGTACAGGGCACTACTCACCCCTCCTGTATCTTCTCTGGTTACTCCGTGGGACTTTAGCCTGGTTCTGCTAGCCTTTCAGAAACTGACCTTTAAACATCTTAGGCATAGTGCCTTATCTGACCTTACTCGCAAGGATTCCCTCCTCGTTGCTATCACCTCTGCATGGAAGGACTCTGAGTCAGCGAACTTGTCCCTTTCTAGTGTTACACAAAGGCAAAGTAGTCCTAAGTCTGAGAACCTCTTTCCTTCCTAAGGTGGCTTCCACCTCAACCAGGACATTTTTCCTTCTTTCCTTATGTCCTGATGTACATGCTTTGAGAGTCTACCTCCTCATTTACATCCTCTTTAAAGTAATTCCCTCTTTATGCTACCAGAGCGCTCCCTGCTTTTCGCTCCACCATTGCTAGGTGGATTATACATCAGGAGAAACTTTAAATTTTTTATCCCAGACTCATGTTTTCCAGTCCAGAATTTGTCCATTTCTCCTCTTTTCCAAGAGAGTCCTGAGTCTGATGGTAACCTCTTTTGAGGCAGTCTGATTTGCCCAGTTTCACTCCAGACACCTGCAATGCAATATTCTATTACATGGGACAAGTCAGTGCAGCCCCTGGCCAGATTAAGTCATTTGCCACATGGACCAGGTTGCTCCTAATATTGGGGCTTCAGAATCCAGCTCTAGAATCAGGGAAATCCTTCATTACTGTATTTCGAAAGATCCTCATTACAGATGCCAGCTTTGTGGGCTACAGAGGAGTCTTAGACACCATGTTGGTGCAGGAGACTTGTTCATTGTTTGACTATCATCTCCTGGTCAACATTCTGAAACGTCTGGCAATTTGGCTGTATCTGCAGCAACAGACCATCCTAGACGTCAAACAACACCATGATAGTGGCATGCGTCAATCATTAGGGAGGAAAAAGCAGTCTTACTGCAGCAAGAGAGGTAGAGCAGATCCTGTCCTGGGACAAAGGCTGCCATATTTCAGCCTTTGTCAGATGATTACATGCCAGGCATGGAAACTGGCAAGCAGACATGCTTAGCTGGCAGCATATGGACCCAGGAGAATGGTCCCTACATCTAGAGTTGTTCTAGGACCTTTGTCACAGGTGGGAGATGCTGGATATAAACCTCCAGGTTCAACAACAAACTGGACATAATTGCTTCAGGTACTATCCTCTAGTGAATACAGTAGATGATCTGGTGACTCTGGGATTAGCACACCCTGTTATATGCCTCCCCTGAAAATTCTCACTCATCTGCTTTACAGAATCAAAATGTAGGACATTTCTGTGATCCTCGCTCCAGATAGGCCAAGGTGAATGTGGTACTCCCAACCTGGTAAGACTCCTGGACGTTGTTCTTTTGACTCTTCCAGATTGGTCTCAATTTTATCATTTTGCTTTAATGGTTGCTGGTTTTAATGGCATGGTTGTTTAAGCCCATGTTCTGAGAGACAGGGTCATCTTTGAATTCCTATGATGTTGAAGGTCAGCTTCCCACGTGGAAAGCATACTTCTCCGTGTCAGAGTATCGAGGCTTCCAACATAGGAGATTCTCTGTGGAATTAATCTTTGTACAGCTGGATCTGGACCAGTTTTTGGCTCTCAGCATCCAGGGTCAAGTTTCTGCAGTAGGTATCTTTGTTCAGAGACCACTGACCTCGCGTTTCTTAAGTAACACCTTTTTACAGGGTGTCTCCTATGTATCTTTCCTTGTTTGTTCCCCTGTGACTCCATCTGATCTGAATTTGGTTCTCTCTGCACTTGAGAATCCAATATTTGAACCCACTATGGACATGGACAAGGTGGTGTTGAGGACTAGGACTACTTTCTACCTAAGGCAGTTTCTGCCTTTCATCTTAACCAGGACACCATTCTTCAGTTCTTCCTGTCAGACTTCAGTTCACTCTAAGGGACGTTCTCTTCCTTGCCTTGCTATGGCTGTGGTGAGCGTCTCTCAGGAACTCCTTTATTAAAAAGACATTCTCTTTTTGCCATCTTAGATTTTCCCCATAATGGTGCACTGGCTTTTCCTATCACCAACTTTAGATGGCCCACTCAGACCATTATTCAAGCTTAAGGTATGTCTTGATTCACTACTAATTCTGTGAGCACCTCTTTGCAACAGTCTACTGTTTCCCTGATTTACAAGGCAGCCACCTGATCTTCTATTAACACAAGTTATACCAGATGGATATTCTGGCATGTTCATCTGATACTTGCTTATGGAGTAAAATTTGTCAGGCAGATGTTTGAGCTGAGTTTGCTTTGTTGCACAACTCTCATTTGGTCTGCTTTCGGATTTCCCAAATGCTTTCCTGTGTCCCTCAATGGATGAGAAAGAAAATAGGAGTTTTGTACATACCTTAACATATGTCCATTGAAGGACATAGGTACTGTTTTGCTTGGCCTTGCTTATAGTGGGGAGGTTGTCTTTTTTTGTTTGCCAGTGTCTGATCCTTCTGCAGGCAGCAGTAAATGGCTTCCTGTGTTCTTTTACTGACGAAAAGGAAAGGATTTCATGGCAAGTACAATATTCTTATTTTTGTCCTAGGATGCCAATACTCATTTTCCCTTCTGTATCAGACAGCAGAAACAGGATAATACCATAGGAATCCTCTTCTATAGTCCTTATTATAGAGGGGCATGGTCTGTACAAATATTTGGGAACAATCTCATAAGAATGCAGCATAGCAAGCTGTCATCTGAAAAGTGGAAAGTTCAACAGGAATTCTTGTTTTAACTTATCATATATATATATATATATATATATATATATATATATATATATATATATATATATGCTTTGAATGGTATATTTAACAGTGCAAATAGTAAAAAAAAATAAAAGAAGTTAATTGTTAGGGTTTACATACACTTTAAAGTTAAACACATCTTTAGAAAAGTGGAGTTGTTGCCCAAAGGCATTTGTCAGTCTTCAAGTATTTGTCAATCGTCAAGTATTCCTTCGGAAAATTAAACAAGACATCCTTCTTGTCCAAGTATAGAGTATGCTTAAGCTTCAAAACCAATAACAGCAAAATATTCATTATAATGCTTTAACTGATTTAAAAACTGAAGCAAAGGAATATTATGTAGTTTCTTTGGTCAATCAATCAAGAAATTCTTAAAGGCAAACCTAATGTATAATGATTTTAGGTCAATTTAATTTTGTTTTTAAACTTGTGTTCCTTTTTTCCTATAATGTATATACAATCTTTATTTTACAAATAATTATTTAGTGCAAGTTGCAGGAAAATAAAAAAAAATGTCCCTGCAAAAGAAAATTGTTTATAGTTTCTCCGCATTCAATACTTTCAGGTAATTTGGATGCCTGCATGTCAACTTTGTGCTGCAATTCCTTTATGAGCTAGCAGTCGGCAGAAGATCATGTGTCTGACATGCCCAGAAGTGTGTTGGATAAGGCAGTGTTAGGCAACCATAGATTTTCATCAAAGTGACAATTTGAGGCTGCATCTGCTTGTAGAAGGATTTATAAACATTCTTTTGCAGGGACGCTTTTATTTGAAAAAAAATCCTGGTGACAAAATCACTTTCACACAAGAAAAAGGATTCTCAGTCATTAGATCAGTGCTTAAAATCTCCCTCCTCAAGAAATCCTGGGAAGCCATGACATACTATGACACACTATATTGCCAAAAGTATTGGGACACCCCTCCAAATCATTATATTCAGGTGTTCCAATCACCTCCATTGGCCCACAGGTGTATAAAATCAAGCACCTAGGCATGCAGACTGCTTCTACAAACATTTGTGAAAGAATGGGTCGCTCTAAGGAGGTCAATGAATTCAAGTGTGGTACTGTGATAGGTTGTCACCTGTGCAATAAGTCCATCCGTGAAATTTCCTTGCTACTAAATACTCCACGGTCAACCGTTATTGGTATTATAACAAAGTGGAAGCAACTGGGAACAACAGCAACTCAGCCACGAAGTGGTAAGACACGTAAAAATGACAGAGCTGGGTCAGCGCACGCTGAAGCGCACAGTGCGCAGAAGTCGCTAACTGCAGAGTCAATAGCTACAGACCTCCAAACTTTGTGTGGCCTTCAGATTAGCACAACAACAGTGCATAGAGAGCTTCATGGAATGGGTTTCCATGGCCGAGCAGCTGCATCCAAGCCTTACATCACCAAGTGCAATGCAAAACGTCAGATGCAGAGGTGTAAAGTACGCTGCCACTGGACTGTAGAGCAGTGGTGACGTGTTCTATGGAGTTATGAATCACAGTTCTCTGGCAATATGGTGGATGTGTCTTGGTTTAGCAGTTGCCAGGAGAATGGTACTTGCCTGACTGCATTGTGCCAAGTGTAAAGTTTGGAGGATGAGGGATTATGCTGTGGGGTTGTCTTTCAGGGTTGGGCTTGGCCCCCTAGTTCCAGTGAAGGGAACTCTTAAGGCGTCAGAATACCAGGATATTTTGGACAATTTTCATGCTCCCAACTTTGTGGGAACAGTTTGGTGATGGCACATTCCTGTTCCAAAATGACTGCACACCAGTGCACAAATCAAGGTCCATAAAGACATGGATGAGCGAGTTTGGGATGGAGGAACTTGACTGGCCTTCACCTCAACGCAATAGAACACCTTTGGGATGAATTCGAGTGAAAACATCAATGCCTGACCTCACAAATGTGCTTCTGGAAGAATAGTCAAACATTCCCATAAACACCCTTCTAAACCTTGTGGACAGCCTTCCCAGAAGAGTTGAAGCTGTTATAGCTGCAAAGGGTGGGTTGATTCAATAGCCTAAAGTCGGCCATACATGGGTCGAATTCTTAAAGAATTTTCTTTAGAAAATCTTTTTTTCTAAGAACTTTTGTTTGAATTTTGCACCATTACTGGGTCACAGAAACAGAAGATTTTCGTGTGATCATCGAATTTGAGTGATCTGGCATGTTGGAAATATTTTTGAAAAACGAACGAATTTCGAATCAGTGATGGGAAAATCGTTCATGAAATATAAACAAAAAAGAAATGAGCTTGAGCTGTGACCTGGAAAGAAAATTATAGGCCATGAAAATTCTTTTCTGTAGCAACATGAGGTAAAATTGAAGGCTTGGTTGGTTGAATTTCAAAATCAATAGTGGCACCATCGGATTACAAAATGCGCAAAATTTCCGATTTTCTAAGGAAAATTCATTCAGAATTCGACCCATGTATGGCCTGCATAAGACTGGAATGCCATTAAAGTTCATGTGCGTGTAAAGGCAGGTGTCCCAAATCTTTGGCAATATAGTGTATATCCAGGCCCAACCTAATTAGGCGCAAGTGTTGGCTCATTTCCTTTCTGGGAACCAGACAAACGCAAAAGCACAGTGACAGACAACCAACACTATGTTTTGCAGAACCAGAGAATTACAGGTATCATGATAAAGAAGATGATGATAGGCACTCTGAATGAAACTCAAACAACCTTCCCCAAGATCTGGTCCCCTTGAATCAATTTCTTGGAGCGCTTTCCTCATATCTAATCTGTTATTTTGTGGCATCCCCCCAGATGGGTTTCCTCTTTCTACAACCTTTACTTCCACTCCAACCCTTCCCACTATGTCATTGTATTCTAACAGAGGGAGAGTCTACCCTGCCTCCCCACTGTCAGAATACACAGATCGGCCAATAGGCTGCAGCACTGATCGAACTGTAATTTTCAAGCAGTCCTGTTCATGAGAAGTCAATCGATTGATTGTTTTCTCATGAAGAGGAACACCCATATATGGATCGAAATTCTGCCAGTTCCTGCTGAATCAGCCAAATTTAGATCCACATAGGGCCAGCTTACCTCATTATTATTATTATTATACAGGATGTATATAGCGCCAACAGTTTGCTTAGCGCTTTACAATATAACCGGAGACAATACAGTAACAATACAGTTCAATACAAGAGGGATTTGAGGGCCCTGCTCCTCTGAGCTTACAATCTAGGATGGAGGGGCTAGTGGTACAAAAGGTAGTAACTGTGGGGGATGGACTGGTAGAAGGAGTAGAAGATTCCATTATTAACTGAGGGCAGGATAGGCTTCCCTGAAGAGAGAGGTTTTCAGAGGTTGCCTAAAAGTGAGCAGAGTAGGCGATAGTCTGATAAATTGGGGTAGAGAGTTCCAGAGGATGGGTGAAGCTCTGGAGAAGTCCTGGAGACGAGCATAGGAGGAGGAGACAAGGGATCTAGAGAGCAGGAGGTCATGCGAGGAGCGGAGAGTACGGTTTGGGTGATATTTGGAGACAAGATCGGTGATGTAATTTGGGGCAGAGTTATAAATGGCTTTATATGTTATTGTTAATGTTTTGAATTTTATCTGTTGGGCAATGGGAAGCCAGTGGAGGGATTGGCAGAGAGGGGTGGCAGATACAGAACGGTTAGTAAGGTGGATGAGTCTCATTACCATCACAGAGTTTTTGATCTTTTCCTTTAATTTGTAAACCGTTATACTTTTGCTTTTACTGTGTACACCTACCTGGAAACCCATTTAATCAGCTTGTATTGTTGCAGTTCTTTAAAACGCTTTAGCTATTTTAAAAGAAAAAGGATTCTCAATGTATTATGCAGGCCATAGACGGGTCAAAAAATCGTCCGATATTCACTCCGTTAGTGGGGCCAGCCCGTCGGCCATTTTTCACGGATCTTCTCGTTTATTTTTATCGGTCATGCTGGAAAATCCACAAAAAATGGCCGTTTTTTCATGGACATTGGTGGCAGCATCGGCAAAGGCACCGACCGATTTTTCATTTATCGGCTGACAATTCGGCCGACAAACGGCCCATCTATGGCCTGCAGTAGGGAATGAGCACAGCAGAAGTAGACTGCCTAGAGCCACTGCTTTGACTGAAGTCTGAAGCTGATCCATTGAATCATCCACTTATGAATCATCCACTTATCTAATGTAAATTTCACCACTAGCTACAAAGTTCTATAAACAGTCTTTTTTTTTTTTCTAAGCACATGAACACCTCGCAAAATGTGACAATGAGCCTACAGCTTCACCTACTGTTTCAAAAAGAGTGCAAAATATCAGCATACAATACTTTATTACTTTATATTTATCTGACAAAAGCAATTTTTTTATACGTTCATACATTCTGTACAAAACCACGATACACTGCTGACATTTTCATTTGCTCCAGTATACTTCTGTCAGCCCTTCACTATCTGAGATACACAATACATCTTTAATATAAAAGCAGAATTTTACCAGATTTCTTTATTTAACCTAATTGTAACATCCAAAAGTGCTGGAAAGTGACAGTCCAACAAAACAACAGATGCTAGTGCCAACATCAAGCTTGTTGGTTCCAGCACCCTGACTGAATATGTCACATTCAGCATTTAACAACAATGTGAGGATTACGGCTGAATAGAATCGACTCAGTGGTAAATGTAGTGTTAAAAAAAGGTTTGTGTTCACCTTCCAGTGCAGCAAAATTCACATCTAGTTTCTAAACAATTCTGTTTTAAAGGGACCCTGTGACTATAGATGTGGGTTTTGTTTACTGACTTTATTTTAAAATCTGAATTCTAGCTCAACAGCTAAAAACAAGTTCATATGCAATTGTAGGAACTGCTTTATCTGCCAAAGGATTTGTATTATGAGCCAGACAGTACTGCCAGGTGTGGGATGCCAGTGCCCAGGCACTAGTCAAGTCTACTAACTGGCAGTGAAAGAGAAGCAGCACACTGGTGAGTCATCACTCTGCTCTTCCCTCCTGTCAGTATGCTCACCGCCAGGGGCGGACTGACCAATCGAAACCTCGGGCACTGCCCGAGGGCCCAGGGTCAGTAAGGGGCCCCATGAAATGCCCCTGGTACCTTTTTATAGGCTTTTTTGGATGTGCTTTGAGTGTGAGCAAGGACACGGGGGCTACATGATCCCCTATTGCCCGGGGGCCCCATGAGTTGTCAGTCCCCCCTGCTCACTGCTGAAGACTCTGGCTCTCAGTGAGGGCTCTCTAAGTGTGAATTTGCTTTAAAATAACTTACGAGTCTTCAGGGCTTTCTGAGATTTCTGAAAAGGTGTCTGTTTAGGAAACCTGTAAGTCACCTCATCCGATTTTAAAGTGTCGAGCCAAAACCTTCTTTTCTAATTTTTGGTAGAGTGGTAGAGTGGGGAAGAATTAGAACTCCTATCGAGTTGGTACTGCCAATTGGGACTCCGTTAGATTTAATCTCACTTTCTGTCCTGCTGACAACAGTTTCCCTAGATAGGAAGCAGGGGGAAATCTGCAACAGGCACACAGACAGAAATAAAAATCTGGCAAAAGTTATAGCCTTCCTCCATTTGTACTATAGTAAAGCATTTTTATTCATGTCTGCATTGCTGTTGGAGAGTTATCATCATTTCCTGTCTGGTAAAACGTCCGCAGGACAAGAAGTGGGGGTAATGTTTTTTAAGGAAGCGCCAGATAAGAAATAAAAACACAGCAGGCATTCTAACCCTTCTCCACGCTATCCAATATTTAAAAAATGTTTGCCTTGACATTTCACTTAACCACTTCCCATCCGGCACATGTACATAAACAGCCGGACGAGAGCAATGCAGGAGCGGGTGGCCGTTTATAAACGTCCTCCCACATTCCCTGCCTGTGCGCACTCCCTGGGAGAACACCGATCGCTGTACAGGACCTCTGTGTGAGCTCCCGATCATGTGATCACTGATTGGCCAATCAGTGATCACATGAATAGTAGTAAGCAA